CGGTTATGATCTCACTTGGAGCTTCATTTAACGGGAAAACCTCTGTCATTTTCATTCCACGTGGAGTGAAGATCAATGCACAGAGTTACTGCCAAGACGTTTTGGACCCAATGTTATCAGAATTCAGCTAGGAAACACTAGAGTTTGTGTTTCAACAGGATGGCGCACCGTCTCACACTGCTTGGGAGACAGTTGCCTACCTGAAGGAAAAATGCCCTGACTTCAGTGCACCTGGTGAATGGCCACCTTGCAGTCCAGACTTAAATCCCATTGACTACTTTGTTTGGTCTGCTATGGAGGAGAAAGCTTATCGTGGTGACAGAATCCAGAAAGTTGAGGACCTCAAGACCAGAATTCTTCAAGTCTGGGAAGAGATCCCTTAGTCTTGGATTTCTAAGTCGATCTCAAAATGGAGGAGGATGGAGGCGGTCGTCCAAAATGGTGGTGGACACATTGAACCATTCCTCAATAATTAAAAGGTGAGTTGAAGAAATTTTTTCATTTTTAATGGGGAATATTGTAGCTGTGCAGTTTAGAAAGAGGCGTCGCGCTTTGGCAACTTTTTTTTTTCGGTATCTTTTTTTTTCAAACGGCCATGATTCATCTCCAAATGAATGTAGGAATCGAAAACCATACATTCTCAGAAAGAGCATGAAAGAACTTTCAGTTTTTTTTCCGACTCTGTAGACCAAACCTTTCATGAACAAGATTCAATTAAATTCAATTAAGGAATTGGTCACAAAAGGGCTGCACATTTGTCCGACTTATACCAATGAGCGGTGTCAGAGTCAAAAGTGAATTTACTCCTGTGGCATATATCCCAGAAACCATCGAGCTGCCAATTCGTCAGGGAATTCACGAACATCGTGTGGGACTAGAATTTGGGTCATTCTCGTTCCATCAGGCCTTTATTATAAATAACTTTAATTCGTATGGATATTATTAAGGATTGACATGCTGACCCAAACCTTCCAGGATGTGCGACGCACGGCTCAGAACGTGAAGGTCAAGGGGCGAGAAGCATGACCTATGTGTTCACACGATGGGGTTTCAGCCGTTTGGCCGCATTCCCATCCTGTAGGTTGAACACCGTGAGCATGCTTACACACTCCATGGGAAACTAGCCATTTGGCCCATTTCCCATCCTCTAAAGAGCAATGCGCATCAAGGACGCGCAAGTGCATTTACAAATTCAATTTCTCTTACTTCTCACTATGGAGCCTAGTGGCTCAAGTCTCATCCTATGCGGGGAAACACGGAATGACTGCACAATTTGAATGACACACTTCAAAGCCTTTATTATCGTATGTTACCCAACACATTGAATGATAAAAATTGATTGGGAAAAACATCAGTCTCACAATGAAATACGTGTATAATGCGAGGATCAACCAGCGAATATAAAATCCGCCCTTCTTCCAAGACAAGGATTTTATTGAACATATGCATTTACAAGATAAGGGTTGCACAAAAATAAAACAGGAAATCCCCCACTCATTTGACAAAAACACCTTTTGCACGGAATTGAAGGATGAAGGGAGCCCAATCTTCATCCATTGGACGATCGGCTTCGTAAGATCCCGCCCCCTTCTTCCTTCCCGACTTCAGCACTTTTCCAAAGGGCCTGGAGACGCTGCACAAAAGTGAAAGAATTTAGAACCTCAATAATTCATTCGCATAAAAATCAGGCTGGGATAGGTTTAGCATAGCTCAATTTTTATATGTTCATATTTTCCATATTTTCATTTCATATTTACATTATCCTAATATGCAAATCACAAAAAATTGGCATGCTGGTAAATGAACAAAGGTTTACGAAATTGTAATACATCAAGCGTCGAAAAATGGTCCTCTTTAGAGCAAAAGTTTAGGAGAAGAAACTTTTCACTTCTGGATTGGTGCAACATTCAGTTTATTCAACCCCATTTTGTAGAGCTAACATTCCCCTCTCCTGCGCTTACAGGAAGAAAAAATTATAAAAAGCTTCAATCTAAGCAACGTATCTTGTATTCTGAAGCCTTGACCATCAGGATTGAATCAAATTCCGGCTACGTTGATGGTTGATATGTCCAAGTCAAGTGCTCTTTGCTGGCTACATCCGACGTCTCCAAGCTCGTCGTCAATCATTCCTGCAGGATGAAGAGAATTTATTTAAGATCATTGCAATGAGCTGCGTGAAATATCAGAAATGGTATTGTCCAAGTGAACAAACACCATATTTTGATTCGAGATAAATCAATATTGAAATGAATATTCTGTTGAATGGTTGGGCTGGACCTGTATACAAGGTTACATTAATAAAAAAAAGCACGTACCTAGTTTTTCCTGAAGTCTCTGGTTCACGTTGCATTATTTGGTCAGTCTCTTGATAAAGCCGCTTTAATTCTTCCCTCGTTTCGCTCCTCAGCAGCTGCCTCTTGTCTGTTAGAGTGAATCCCCAGAAGAGGAGTGATTCTCGGGGAACGGTTGAAAGGCTTTCAACTCCAGTCATTGGGTTCCAAGATTTCTCATAAGTCCCCTGGTACCAGTGGATGGTCACTTCTTTCTCTTCTACGGAGGTTATCTTTCCCATCCATGGCCGTGACGTTTTCTCCTCTGTATAGACGACGGCCAACATCCCCGGATGAAGGTCGTTGGTCCTAGCACATATGCCCAGTCTCCGACTGCCAATGGAACCGATGATGGGATGTGGAGTGCATACAGGAAATTAAGTCTGGAGTTTAGCTTTGCAAAATGATCGACTATTTGAAAACGTTCAAGTGCAATGTGGATGCCTCTAACGTTAGGAAAAGTATTCTCACCTGTTGCAATGGTCCGAGCATCTGACTTTTCATGTTCGCCAGGTAGGATTGCATGGTTGGAGTTATGCCGGCAGGTTGTTCAGTTGAAGTGTTCTTGTAGACTCTCAGCTTTAGAAGGTACAATACTGGTTCCTGGGGATAGACCAAGGCATATCTGTTAGTTTAATTCCATAAGTTACTTGCTAATAAAACATATTTGAGGCTGCATACAACCGCCATTACCATGGATTGCTGGGTATCTGGAGAAAACACATGCCAAGCGTGGACTTTGTCTTCAGACATTTCTGGGAAGTAATTTTGGATGGATGCCCTCACCACCTCTAGTCCAGCTGCATTCCAATCAGGAGGCACCAGAACACCGAAAATTTACCAATTTACCGATTGTCTCCATATATTTTGAGCAAACCAAGAAAATCAATGCCATTATGCACGTCATTACGCAATATGAGGACCAAAATGTATACATATGTGGAAATGTGGCTAATTGAAAAATCAATTCCTTAATTGAAACTTGTTATATATACAAACCTTCCTTGATCTCGGCACTCACGTGCATGGGTGGTGAACAGCGTGACAGTGGGAGCGTGAATGTGCGTGAAACCCTCCTCGTTTTCGCACCAGCCTCTCCTGCATGCAAGAGGCGAGTGTAGGAAGCAAGAGACGCACTTTAGCAAGCATAATCTCTCACGGCTCCTTGGTCCTTGCTTTTTCCACATGCGTTTACTAGAATACCGGCACGCGCACGCCTCCGAGTTTTTGAGTGACTATGAATGAACTAAAAATTGGAATCTCTCGTTCGAGCTGCATGACATGTGGCACTATTAAAGGGGAGGGGGATTTATTAAATACCGCTGTAATGCTTTCCCTGCATATTTCACATTTAACAAGATTCAATTAAATTTTGCTTGTTCAATTAAAGAATTGGTCACAAAAGGGCTGCACATTTGTCCGACTTATACCAATGAGTGGTGTCAGAGTCAAAAGTGAATTTACTCCTGTGGCATATATCCCAGAAACCATCGAGCTGCCGATTCGTCGGGGAATTCACGAACATCGTGATGGACTAGAATTTGGGTCATTCTCGTTCCATCAGGCCTTTATTATAAATAACTTAACTTTAATTCGTATGGATATTATTAAGGATTGACATGCCCGACCCAAACCTTCCAGGATGTGCGACGCACGGCTCAGAACGTGAAGGTCAAGGGGCGAGAAGCATGACCTATGTGTTCACACGATGGGGTTTCAGCCGTTTGGCCGCATGCCCATCCTGTAGGTTGATCACCGTGCGCATTCTTACACACTCCATGGGAAACTAGCCATTTGGCCTATTTTCCATCCTCTGAAGAGCAATGCCCATCAAGGTCGCGCAAGTGCATTTGCAAATTCAATTTCTCTTACTTCTCACTATGGAGCCTAGTGGCTCAAGTCTCATCCTATGCGGGGAAACACGGAATGACTGCACAATTTGATTGACACACTTCAAAGCCTTTATTGTCGTATGTTACCCAACACATTTAATGATAAAAATTGATTGGGAAAAATATCAGTCTCACAATGAAATACGTGTATAATGCGAGGATCAACCAGCGAATATAAAACCCGCCCTTCTTTTAAGACAAGGATTTTATTGAACATATGCGTTTACAAGATAAGGGATGCACAAAAAAAACAGGAAATCCCCCCCTCATTTGACAAAAACACCTTTTGCACAGAATTGAAGGATGAGGGGAGCCCAATCTTCATCCATTGGACGATCGGCTTCGTAAGATCCCGCCGCCATCTTCCTTCCCGACTTCAGCACTTTTCCAAAGGGCCTGGAGACGCTACACAAAAGTGAAAGAATTTAGAACCTCAATAATTCATTCGCTTAAAATCAGGCTGGGATAGGTTTAGCATAGCTCAATTTCATATGTACATATTTTCCATATTTTCATCTCCTTTTTATTATCCTAATATGCAAATCACAAAAAATTGAAATGCTGGTAAATGAACAAAGGTATACGAAATTGTAATACATCAAGCGTCGAAAAATGGTCCACTTTAGAACAAAAGTTTAGGAAAAGAAACTTTTCGCTTCTGGATTGGTGCAACATTCAGTTTTTTTCAACCCCGTTTTGTAGAGCTAACATTCCCCTCTCCTGGGATTTCAGGAAGAAAAAAAACGATAAGAAGCTTCAATCTAAGCCACGTATCTTGTATTCTGAAGCCTTGACCATCAGGATTGAATCAAATTCCGGCTACGTTGATGTTTGATATGTCCTAGTCAGGTGCTCTTTCCTGGCTACATCCGTCGTCTCCAAGCTTGTCGTCAATCATTCCTGCAGGATGAAGAGAATTCATTTAAGATCATTGCAATGAGCTGCATGAAATATCAGGAATGGTATTGTCCAAGTGAACAAACACCACTCATGATATTTTGATTCGAGATAAATCAATATTGAAATTAACATTCTGTTGAATGGTTGGGCTGGACCTGTATATAAGATTACATTAATAAAAAAAGCACGTACCTAGTTTTTTTCTGAAGTCTCAGGTTCACGTTGCATTATTTGGTCAGTCTCTTGATACAGCCGCTTTAATTATTCCCTCGTTTCGCTCCTCAGCAGCTGCCTCTTGTCTGTTAGAGTGAATCCCCATAAGAGGAGTGATTCTGGGGGAACGGTTGAAAGGCTTTCAACTCCAGTCATTGGGTTCCAAGATTTCTCAAAAGTCCCCTGGTACTAGTGGATGGTCACTTCTTTCTCTTCTACGGAGGTTATATTTCCCACCCATGGCCGTGACGTTTTCTCCTCTGCATAGACGACTGCCAACATCCCCGGATGAAGGTCGCTGGTCCCAGCACATATGCCCAGTCTCTGACTGCCAATGGAAACGATGATGGGCTGTGGAGTGCATACAGGAAATTAAGTCTGGAGTTCAGCTTTACAAGAATGATCGACTATTTGAAAACGTTCAAGTGCAATGTGGATGCCTCTAACGTTAGGAAAAATATTCTCACCTCTTGCAATGGTCCGAGCATCTGACTTTTTATGTTCGCCAGGTAGGATTGCATAGTTGGAGTTATGCCGGCAGGTTGTTCAGTTGAAGTGTTATTGTAGTCTCTCAGCTTTAGAAGGTACAGTACTGGTTCCTGGGGATAGACCAATGCATATCTGGTAGTTTAATTCCATAAGTTACTTGCTAATAAAACATATTTGAGGCTGCATACAACCGCCATTACCATGGATTGCTGGGTGTCTGGAGAAAACACATGCCAAGCGTGGACTTTGTCTTCAGACATTTCTAGGAAGTAATTTTGGATGGATGCCCTCACCACCTCTAGTCCAGCTGCATTCCAATCAGGAGGCACCAGAACACCGCATGCATTGAGTACTGGAGTCGTCTGGGAGGTGGAAATGAATCACGATGTGAAAAGGGGGAAAGGCATTCCACACTTTCCTAGTTAATAATTTCATGAGCAACTCCAAGCCTGAGAAAGGCTTCTACAACTATACTCCTGCAAAAGTGACATTTCATATTAGGAACCGCTTGAAGTTATAAAAACTAAAATCAGTTCAATCCAATTTAATTTTACACAAATTTTATAATGTCAGGGATGCGTAATGTCCTCAACTAGGGATATTAGTCAGTCATTGCACTCTCCTTACCTGTAGACATACATATCCAAGGTCTGGGCCAAGGCACTCCCTGATGTATTGAATGTCATGCTCATTGGGGCACCAGGCTTCTCCAGCATGCAATCGAATGTGCATTTGTGTGATTCCTTTGGATTTCCTGAATCGGAATGAATGAGGTTTGGTCTGTCCACGAAAATGACGTGGAAAATGATCCTGGATGACAGTCTTGAAGTTGTGGACGACATTCAATTCTTCAGCATGAAGATTTTCAGGTCTTCCTCTTTTAATCTCTTGCAGACACGTCATCAAATCTGTAATTGAACAGAAAGTTAAATTTAATTTTCATGTGATATTCAGAATCAAGCCAAAGCGACAAATTAGGCATACAAAGAAAATTACAATTTCTGTGCATGTGTCTCTAACCCTCAGATGATGGTTCACTGAGCTGAAGAGTTGGTCAATATCATCATGAGTATGTCCAACTGGATGAAAGTTGAAGACCACCTTTAAAAAAAAATCAGCACATAGAATTTGGAGTGTCCCAAAAAGTCTCTTGGAAACAGGATTTCTATAATTTCAAGGAACCCTAAGGGTGTCATTCACTTCTTCAAATATTCCTTCCTCTACGAGTAGATGAGCCAGTGCGCAGAGGTATTTGTTCTTGTTCTCCCTGGTACAATTGTCCATCTGCAGGAAGAGTTTGGGCTTCAAATACTCCTTCACATGAAGTAGAGTACGAAGAATGACTTCAATTGTCAAATTGGAATCGTGGGGGTGTTGACCCCTGTCAACGCATACGAACTCGAGGATCCCCTTGCCCGTGTATACCATCACTCTTACAAAGGTTAGAATGAAAGTGCATATACAAAATGGCAATTTTCACACAAAACCAGCATCACTTCATTCAACTTATAGAATTGAACTTTGTGTGTCAAGATGTAATTTTAAGCAGGTGTCAGTTACATCAAGTGTTACCTTGAAAACATTACATTAAAAAATATATGGAAGAGTAGAATCACCTTCAATATGAGTGACAAGCTTTGGCAAGCTATTCGTATGCTTGTCTTCTTGGACGAACCGAGGAAGATTTGTTTTCTTCTGGTCCATCCCATCTACAACCATTGCAACCCAATCACCATTCTCCAGAGTCAGAACCTTGTGATGTGTGTAGTTGGATCGCTGGAACCTGTTGACCACAGGGTATCAATACAAGTTCTCAAATACATAAGCAAAACAACATGGAACTAAATTGAAAGTCAAATACAAAAATATGAGCCAAATGCGTCGCTTTCCCGGACGTTGCTCAAAACGTACTACATTTGAAGATAGTCACAGGGATATCCTTCATTTTATGCCTGCCACTGAGAAACATTTCCACTTAAATTACAAGAGTTTTTTTGCGTTGTGAAGACATAACAGTTTAATTTATTGGCAACGTCAATGCGTTAGGTCCATACACTTGTATTGAAAGTTAATTAATTTCTTTTCAAAATAAAATTTTAAGAAATCGCCATTTTCTTGCAAAAATGTAGAATAAATCAGCGAGGTAAATTATTCCATTATAAATTGTTATTCCGCTGTTGCTATTTTCATATCCTTGGAATTCCCGTTAATGCACAGTTAACACAAATGGGATGTCGCGTTAACGTTTTGAAGTAGTTGACACAGTTACGTACTGACCAAAGAATATAGTTATTGCCGACTAATTGAAAATGACCTATCATGACAGAATAAAACATCAAAATAAGTATAGGATAACTCACTCAGCCATCTTCAAATGCCTTTCACGAAGACCTTCTAGGTCTCTTCGGGCTTCCCCAGTCACAGCTCTCCATGTACCACAACTCAGGAAGGCGTTTGGCTGTAATAAAAGTCAGATGAAATATTACTGCGATGTCTCCATCTCACTTTCTACTCAGTTATGCAAAATATGATCAAAGCTAATTCGAATTCAAATACCTTGTTTCAAGGAATGTCGTTATTCAATTACGTATGAATGGCAAGAGTCCCTCACCTTGGCGATTGAGATGTTCATGTCCTTCACGAGAGAAGTGAAACGGACGTATTTGAGAAGGTTCTCTTTCAGGCATCCCTTAGCAACGCAGCTTTCCTGCATGTGTCGATAAAGTTGCTTGATCGTGAATCCTTGGACGTGTATCTTCTTGGTTGGGCATGGTGAATGCTGTCCATGGAGGGTGAGGAAGTTCATCAGCCATGCTCGAGCAAATTCTAACTTCGGCTTCCTCCGTGGCTGCTTTGGGAGGTGAGACTCCTGCCTCCTCTGTAGTTTTATCCATTAATTTTGTGTTACACGAAATAAATTAAAGCAACAAGGTCTGCAGAGATTAACGCCCTTATGCGAGAGAGTCAGGCGACTGCGAGAGGAGTGTCTATGGATAAACTGCGAAAGAAACTTATTTTTCTCCTTGTCGGACATGTCGTCAAGCTGCCTGTCCATGTCGTACAGATCCTCACTGACCATTCTCCCCAAGCAGCATCTCAATCGGTAGGTCCTCGTTCTGAGCTTTGGATTCTTCATCGGAGTCGAATGCGGTCTCTTTGCTAGGGAGGTGGCGTCATCTGCAAATGATGCATACATTTGACCATATTTCTTGAAATGTGAAGTCATGAGGACCTTTTCGCACTGGAAAAATGCGAATATTTCCAAAAATGAAAAATATTTGGAAATGAGAGGCAAGTTTAGTCACTCAGTGAAAATCTTTGTCTCAGAGCGGTTGGGAAGTTGAATTGCTCAAATAACGATGTGAACTAGCACAAATTTCAGATTTAAATTTCGTCATTGATCTGAAGTCACTCACCAATCTCAAAGTCAGCAGAATCATCCAATTTTCTCTCCCTGTCTTCATGTACTGCTTCCCCTGGATAACAGAGGCCAAAAAATAAAAACAGGAAGGAAATATGTTACAATCGCACAATTTTTTTTATCTCAATGCCTCAATTTGAAAAAGAAAGATTCCATCCATACCTCTCTGTGAAGGGGTCTAGATTGTCTGTGCAACCAGTAATGGCTTGCATACGTCAACATTATTTTTTACTCATGTATGGTACCCAGTCAAGCACGAGTGAAGAGATGCCAAAAATATTGGATTTGACTTACATGTAAATGAAGGAAAAAATGTAGTCTCAAGTGGTGATACCGTTGTTCCAAGGCTCCCTCCCAAGACAGTTGCTTCCGGCGAAGGAGCAAGTATCGCCGTGTCGGCAGTGTCATTCCAGTTTACATCCAGCTGTGTCGTCGTCGGTACTCTGTCTGCATTAGAAAATAAAGATTAAGAGACCCGTATCAAAAGTTCAATTCATCAAAAAATAACATTTTCGTTATTGTTCACTGCCCAGATGTACTAATTGCAATTGTAGCCAGCCTATTTTATAAAGCAAGTCCATGGAAATAGCAATAATAGAGAGCGCTAAACAAAATATATTGAGATAGCATAATCCCATAGCATAATCTGATGACGAAGATCTCACTGGTGAAGGCATGGAGACAAATGTTGAGACTGATCCATTGTAGGTGTCCTCAGCAAGTCGAAAGCTCTTGGAAATACCTGAGATGCGGGATCGAAAGAAACCCAAATATCATTCCTCAGGCATTTTTCTTATCACAACCGAAATTATACGCAGATATCACTCGCACACATGACATACCTAAGACATCCTCACGCACAGTGATTGACTTCATTGGAGAAGGAATCGTCAAGATCGTCGATGACGTTCTGTTTAAGAAATCGCCATCCCTAAGGTTGTCTGAAGATTTCATTAATTTCATTTAAAGAGGCGAAGATATTAAAAAAAAGGCTTAAAGAATCATTATCCCATGCGATCTATGGGATGGTAACTCATGTGATCACTAGAAAGCGCTAAAGTATTTCGATGAGAGGTTCGGCATTTTGACATGCGCAATCCGACAAATGGAAGAATTCAGAATTAACACTCACTGGAGGAAAGCGACGTAATGCTTCCAAAAAATGTGGCATGTAAGTCTTCTTTCTCCATGACAGGGAAGGAAGTGGGGTTTACCTGATACTGTACGCTCTTGTGCGCTGGAAAAGAAAACCACTTTGGAAGGTGATTAGCAGAGGGAAGGATGATAAGAGGAGGAGAGCTATTATTGCTGAGAAGAGCGAATAATTAATTTTTTTTATTCAGAGGGAACGAGCAACAGAGAAGTATCTCAAAAGAGAATTCTATTCAGACATTGGAAGACGGACATGCGACTAATTTGAAAGAAAATAAAGGAAAGAAGAAGCAGTGCGTTTTGAGAAACAAGGAGCAACATGACTTTCAAGTATGGAAGAGAACAAAATAAATGAAGGGTGACATGCAAATGTGGTGAGCTGAAGGGATTTCGATCCAAGCGAATTCACTGCTGTCCAAGCCGAAGACACACTGCCCTGCAACAAGGCTTAAGCGAGACTGAATGCACTGGCAGACTGGTAGACCGGCAGTCTGGCTAAAGCTAATCGGAATAGGGGAAGGAACCCGTTTGGCCTCAGGATATGACTCTTTCCCGAGGCTATGACCCGCGACAACTACCTCCTCTCCTCCTCATGCCCATATTCCTTGTCAATGTCAACCATGCACAAAATAATATTGTGCTTTCTACCACCATTGCATCGAATGTGGATTCCGTGGGCGAGTTACACGTTCATAAAATATTGAGCCGTTCATAAATTCGATACCAATATAGCAATCCCCAATGCCAAAAATTCCATAAATGTGAATACATCATCATGATGTATTCACATTTTTATACAGGGCAAAATCTTCTGGCACACCCTGTATATATATATAGAGAGAGAAAGAGAGAGAAAGAGAGAGAGAGAGAGAGAGAGGGAGAGAGAGAAGCAAGCAGCATGTTCACATAAACAGAATATCAATTTCTTGCAAACAATGTAAATTTCTTGCGATTGCCATGAAAATAAAATCACGTTTATGTAAAATTTACGTTTTTATCCCTATGAGAGTCCGCCCATGGCTTCAGCACATCCCGAAAGATGCGTTCCTGGTAGAATTTGGCATCGAATATGGCTCCTTTCTTGAAGAAGACGAGAGGCGTCTTTCCACTTGCGGTGACTCCACCGTTTTGTTTTGTTTTTCTTATTTGACTATCCTAGTTGCTTACTGTTTAGTACCTAATGTCAACATTGCCCCCCCCCCCACCTTTTTGCCTGTCCGTGAAAGCATCTAGTTTCTTCTTAAAAATAGTCACAGAAAGTGCAACCACTACTTCCTCATCTAACGCATTCCACGCGTTCACCACTCTGCAAGTAAAGAATTCCTGTCTCGGCCTGAGCCGCACCTGCGGTTTGCGCAATTTAAGTCGGTTGCCTCTTCATCAAACTGGAAAAACAAACCACACCCGACATTATCTATTCCTTTAATTATCGTGAAAGCCTGGATGAGATCGCCCCTCCTTAACCTTCGTTGGAGCGAGTACAGTCCCAACATTTCTAAACGCTTCTCGTCACATGACCTACTTAATCATTCTTGTGGCCCTCCTCTGTACTCCCTGGAGCGCCAACAAATCGCCCTTATTTGTTGGCCTCCAAAACTGGATGCAATATTCCAACTGGGGTCTTATCAGCGCCGCATACAATGGAAGAATAACGCGAGATGTCCTACTTGCAACCGACCGACGAATGTAACCTAGAATCCTGTTGCATTAGGCCACCGTCGCTTGCGCGTGNAAGGAACGCTCGACCTCGACACGTGATATCGAAATGGGCGAAATAGCCTCTTGATATCACTATTTATCTTGAATCTTGAGGTGGCGAAGGTGAGTTGGGGATCAGTACGTCGGAGTGTGGAAGAAAGGACTCGAGTTGTTTTTGATGCATTGAGGCGCAGACCGTTGTTGGCTGTCCAAGAATTTATGGCTATGTCGCAAGATGTTGAGACGGAAATGGGCGTGGAGTTCCGTGAAACAGGAAGGCAGGCGTTGCATTTCTATACAATGGCGGTGTCTCATTTGCTGATTTAAAACTAGAATACGGACTTAATCTGCGTTCAGGTAGTTCTCTTCTTTTTCTCTCTCTCGTAACCTTGAGTTTCAGGTAGACATGACATACTACGAAGAGAGGAATCACAAGTCCAAGAATAGAGATATTTCAAAATCGATATGGGTTTTTCCCCTACTTCCCAGCGTATGAAAAAAAAAACTTTCGTGCACTTGGATAGGAAGAGCAGCATGGTCGGGTTCTCACGCATCAGCCGTGGTCTGAATTTCAGGCCTATAAAAGCAGGGCAGTGTCCCGAGGAGCCTCACTCTTCAGCTTCAGGAACATTGTCAAGCAGACGAAAGGTCCTGTCAGGAATCACAAAACCCAGCATCATGAAGGCTATCTTCGCTCTCATCGCCCTCTGCGCTGTTGCTTGTAAGTCACCTTCCATATTTCACGTATTTTTTTAGATGTGCAATGGAGTAGAACCGTGAAAAATCGACGCTGTTCAATGTGACCTTAATGTAGTGGGTAATCCTCTTTTTTGTAAATCAAAGTTGAATCAATGTTATGTGCTACCTGGGCTGAGTCATGACGAATAGGTGTAACCGATAGTAATTTATCCAGAAAAACCTAAACTCTTTCAATACGGCTTGGAATGCTGTGAAGCACTTTGATTGCAGTTACGGTGCTGGAGAATAGATTTTTCCTGGAGGAGTCAACATTGGGATGTTGTACTTTGTGATTTCTTCAGATGCCAAGCAGCCCACTGCACCCTGTTGCTGCGACGCCAGTGAGGGCTGCGACCCAGATGGCTGCTTCGATGCCTGCCTTGACGTCTTCCCCGACACTGTCGGAGTCTGCTTCGAGGCACCTTTCACCTGCTGGTGTTACATGGAGGGTTGCCTGAGTGAGTCATCATCCTCTCCCATGTGGTATATGAATCCGAGGATGAGCTTCAATCGAAGTCCTTTACGAAAAAGAAGGAATTCTTGCACTGTCCTTTCATTACATTCAACTTATTGGAATAGCTTCAAAAGCAAGAACACAAATTGCAAAAGAAATGTTTCAGATTGGTCTTGCAATCTTTTCCAGCCAAACAATGTAGTTTGGGTTATGATCTCATGGAAGAGTCTTTGTAGCGTAATTCCCTATCAATTTTGTTGTAATTGATTTTCTTTTCCCAGATGCTATCGCGACTGGGCATAACTTCCTCAAGGCGATGAAGGCTCACTAAATCCTGATTGATGGTCCCATTCATCTTTCCATCTTGTGCTGCTTGACAGTGAATAAAGCATGATGTAACCCCAAAATATCTCTTGATTATCTATTAAATTACGTTCATTTAAAAATTGGCCATAGAATTGATCCAATCCACTTGATTGAAGAAAAGCACGGACGAAGATCCCTGTCAAGGAATTACAAACCTACAGAAGAAAAAACAAACATGCGTCACTTATATGGACGAAGGCGGAAGAATACATAACAGCGGTGGACATCACATGAGGTTTTCGGGAGTGTATTGTGAGAGGAAATATTTTACAACACTGGCAACCGTGGCGGGTACGACTGGAACTTTTCCTTTTTGGCGAGCAAATAATGTAATAATAAGTGCACGAATCATCCGCATTTTCATACCTGAGTCATTCCAGCGCATCTTTCAGAGGAGTCTCGAGAAGCGAATGATGCAATCATACCAAACGCTCTGCATCCAACATAGGAGCTCCGAAGAATTTAACAGGAATTGGGGACAGATTACAGAGATAGAAAATGGCACGAATGTACTATACGAATGTACTGTATCCTGGAGGAGAGTGCGAGAGCTTTGGTATCATCCGACAAATTTCGGTAAAGGGCAGTACCCCACGTCGCGTGGCCAAGAGGCGTTTCCAACCCTCCTTGAGGTGGGGACCCAACCCCAGGCTTCTAATCCCAATCCCTTGCACAAGTTGAAGTTTTTTTTCCTGTGTTTTATACTCATGTATATTGTATCCTTTCGTGATCCAAATCATTTCCTTTGTGCATGAAGTGCATAATTCTTTTTAGCGTGTTATTATTATTAAAGTCCTTCTTAAATCTCTTTCCAGCGCAGGCGATTAGACGGTTGCGCATCCAACAAAAACCTTCTGTTAATAAATCTTTCAAAGGGGCTTTACTGAGTTTCGATGAATTCACAATTTCCATCGCTCTAGTAGAAACGGAATATGACTGAATTACAGAATATGATTACGCATTGAAAGACTGTCGATTTTCATTCAGACAAGTACATGAAACGTTGAGAAGGCAAATATTCTGAGGCAATAAGTCTGGCTTACAAACCCTATCCAGGAAGTTTCTGCCGTCAGGTACTACGACTGTAGTTGTAAATAGGAGAGGTAGTACTTAATGCCCCAGAAGCAATCCCGGCTTAAGTCCATCTCCCAGTGCCACAATTAAACGATCAATTAGCTCCGCCAGCCTCACAGCTGAATTGCATGGTAGACAAAAGCCTAGAACGGAATGAAGGTAGAGCATGGTTTGGGAAAGCTCAAGCCTATGAAGGAAAAGCGAAAAAGGGGGGTGGGCTAGGAGTAAAGCAAGCCTATGAAAGAAACGTGTAGTATGGGGAAAGGCACTACCATGCATTCAGCTGTGTCCTGCATTGACAGACGGCAGAAACTCTCTGGATAAGGTTTGTGAATCAGACTTGTGGCCTCAATCCCCTGACGACGCAGTCTGCCTGATAAATTTCTAGGATAGGATCCATCGCTGTCCCTTTATTTTTAAACTTCCTTAAGCCTTGTCCCATACCTGCAGGCTGTGTCTAATAATTTGGACTCTCATCTCTAAGTTCCGCGCTTCTGGTTGCAATGGTTGGGCATTTTCTTTTGTCCTTGGGTAATTTCGGACAATTTCGACACCAAATAACTTCTCTCTCTCTCTCCCTCTCCCTCTCTCTATATATATACTGTATATGTATACGAAAGTACAAACATAGGGTGTCCATTTGCTTTATAAGTTTCCTTTGGTGCCGTTTTTTGGTTTTGGCTATTTTGGGGTGGTGGGAGGTTGGTTGGCTTTGGTTTGGTGGAGGATTAATAGCATTCAGAGTCTTCTAATCTCTCCTTAATATACTGTTCGCTTGTTTTTCTCATGTGTATTTTATTTCTTAGGCTAGTTTTGAATGGTACATCTTTTTCCATACTTTCGAGGGTTGGCTGCCCTTGTCAGTATTTACACTATAGCCTTCAAATGTAAGAGTGTACGTTGCCGCACCTGTCCCTATATGGTAGAAGGAAGAAACCTAACCCTTTGGTAACCCTTTTGTAAAACTAGTCACGTAATCTATAAAATCACATGTGGTCCCTGCAACCTAGCCTATATCGGGCAAACGTATACCGCCCTGAACTTAAGAATGAATAATCACAGATCCCATGTTAAGTTAAATAGGACCCAAGATATAGAAATTCAGCATTTTCAAAGACATAACTTCCGGAACATTAAGATTGAAATTTTGAAAGTAATAATTGACGAAAAG